GAGGACGATGTCCGTCCCCAGCCCGCTGGACCTGAACTCGAGGAAGATGGAGGTGTCCAGCCCACTGCACCTGAACACGGAAAGGAAAACAAATCAGTAGATAATGAAGAGGAGAAGAAAATGGAGCTTACTGGAGGAAATGAGAGAAAAAACGATGGTGAGGAAAAAGAAAATGAAACAGAAAAAGATATTGCAGAAATCTTAGATGTTGGTGTTGAATTTGGAGATAATGTCAATACTGTGGATTTAAGTGAAGAAGGGAAAAGTACTGTCTCAAGCTGCAACCCACTGGTAGGATCCCCAATAACTAAAGGTTTGGAAGAACCAACAGGTGAAAGCACTGTTCTATATCCTGAAAATTGTGAGTTGAAAGATAAATCTGAACTCCAGATGCAAGGTAATTCAGACACAAATGTGCTTGCTGACACTTCAAACTTGACTTCTGAAGAGGTAAGTGATGTCAGTGAAACCCCAGAAAAGGTGGACATCGACACCGTTGTTACAGACAATAGCTTTGATGCAAAGATGGATGCAGCTAAGGAAGAAAGCCAGGAGTGTTTGACTGCTCAGGGCGTTTCTTCAGTAGGAGCATTAGCAGAATGTGTGGAAAAAGTAATCGCACAAGTTGAAAGAACAGAGGTGGAAGAAGATGAAATTCAGGAAAAGTCACAAGTCAAAGATGATCCAGTAGATTCCTTGAATCTCAAAGGAGAAGGGGAGTCAGCTGAGAGAACAGAAGTACAAGAAACAGACCCTAAGGAAGAAACTAAGACTCAGGTAAAGGAGGAGTCGCCAGTGATGTTAGAAAATGATCTAAAAAAAGGCAAAGATATGCTTGAAACAAACGAGGCACAGGAAATTGGTAAAAGAGAAAATATTGAGTTGCAGGTTAAACATGATGGTAGTGTTCAGGATACAGTAAATGCTGACTCAGAAGATGTCTCTTCTGGGAGGACGATGGATTCTTGTGTTTCTATTAGTGAAGCTGGTGCATCGCATCCAGAAGGAAGTAATGGGAACAAAGAACACCAAAAGCAGACAGAGGTCCAGGATAAATGTGCCACAAGTCCAGTGAAGGAAAAGTCTGAAACTAAGAATGCGGGGCAGGCTGAGCTCAGTTCGGTCCTCTGTGTATCTGAAAAAGAGCAAGAACTGACCAGTGAGAAAGAAGAAGAGGAGGAAGAGGATGAGAAAGGAGATTCGTTTGAGTTTGAAGACTCTGCACTTGCAGAGGAGCAACCTCGGGAAGAAAAAATAGAGGCAGCATCGGGGGCGCTGGAGCCGCGTACCGAGAAGAAAGATGGCAATCAAGATGTGAAGAGTGTCAGCTCTGATAAAGTAGAAGACCTTGAACAGTCCAAGCAATCTGAAGCTGGTGAGACAGAGGCTCCACAGCAGGAATCTGAGTCAAAACCAGGGGCACATGAGGAGAGTTCTGCTGTGAAATCTGCAGACAGGGTGAGAGAATCAGCAGAAGATGAACAGGACCAGAATGGATCACAAGAGGAGGGCAATACGATGGAGGGGGCAGTCAAAGATAAGGGGCAAACAGAAAGTCAGGCTCAAAAGAGTGGGGGTGCAAGAAATCAAGAAGAGACAGAGGGTGACGATCTTGGCAAGGCAGATTCAGCTAAAGGGAGTAAGAAGGGAAAGGGGAAAGGGAGGGATGATTGTAGGATGTCATAAGGATCCTTTCTCAAAGTCAACTTGTCAGGAATATTACTTTTAATCCATCAAAGTCAGAAACAAATGACCAACAAATTGCTATAGCCACCAATCGTAAACCACACACCCGGTACTACAAATTGGATTCCCAATGGTAAAAAGAAAAACAACACTGCCTCTTTGCCCTGCTTTTCTAGTTTGTGATGGCAGTCGAGTTGGTGTGTTGATATAATTAGGGTCAAAGATGCAATATTATTTTGAGAAATGCATAGCACATCTTTATCAGCAGTGTGTTCACACATTTCAGTTTGGAGTCTGTCAGAATATGTTTTCATATACCTGAATTTTAACAAGACTTAAATCACAAAAGTGTTGGAGTATGCTTTGAAACTAAAACAGGGTCTGCATATGTCCAGCTTTCTTAAATATAAATGATATTGAGGGCGGAATCTTTATTTGTTTATTATAAACATTAAACATAACCAACCTTTTACAGTGTAATATTCATTTACAAAAAATGTTATCATTTTCTATAGATTAATATCGAGCACAATGAATAATTCAATAATTAAAAAACAGAGGTGCCAACCTCTTTAATGTTTATATGCTGCATGCTCTCGCGCATTATTTCATACCTGGTACTGAACGTTACATTAATAATTATATTTAGATTTTGTAATCACCAAGACTTATGCTGTACCCCTCATAGGTGTATGGGAGGATGGGATCTCACTGTCCT